TAGACCTTCTTGGAGACTCTGGCACTCATGTGCAATGGGAATATTTTCAGGGGATAGAGCACTTGGCACAGTTTGGAAAGTGCTGTGTGGATGAGGAAGATTTGTGCCCTGCAGGCCTGAGCTGTGTCTGTCCATCTCTGCGCCCCCTTCTGGGAATAAGGCCTTCAGGAAGGATGTGGCATTGAGCCGGTGGCTGAGTGAATGAGTACAGAGGATGACAGAAGGGTAGTTGCGGAGGATAAATCTCAGAAAGCACTTGTGTCCTAGGCTGTCATGGCTGGGGGTCCCTCCCAGGTGGATGTGCTAGGTCAGAGGTGCTGGGGGCCGTAGCTATGTAGCAGGATCCTATCAGCAGTATGAGACGTGCCATTGGAAGCATGGGTGGGAAGTTGGCTAGGACGTGGGTTAGGGGTCCCTTACGCCAACTCAGCCTCAGAGCCATGGATGCGGTGGATTCTTTTGTTTGAGGTACTGGGGGTCAAACCCATGTCCTTTACACTGAACGATATCCCCAGCCCTTTTTATTTGTTATGAGACGGGCTCTCAGTGAGTCTGACTGAGTTATCTGGGCTTGGAGTTTGTGCTCCTCCATCACCATACCCAGCTCGTTCTTTTGTCTTGAGTATAGTATTGGGGATTTGAGCCCAGAACTCCACGTATGCTAGGTAAGCTTTCCACCACTGAGCTTCACGCCTAGCTCCATTGATTGATTGATTTGTTTATTTTAGACAGAGTCTTGCTAAGTTGCTCTGACATTGAGTTTATGATTGATCCTCCTGCCTTCGCCTCCCTAGTAGCTGGGATAACTGGCATGGGCCATCTAGATTGTGGTTGATTTTATTTGTTTTTGTGGCGGAACCAGGGATTGAACTTAGGCCCTTGCGTTTGCCAGGGAAGTACTTATTCCACTGAGCCATTTCCCAGGCCCCTGTTTTGTTTTGTTTTGTTTTTAAAGACAGGATTTCACTATGCAGTTCAGGCTGGCTTTGGACTCACTGTATAGCCCAGGCTGGCCTCAACCTCTTACTGATCCTCCTGCCTCAGCCTCCCCAGAGCTGGCATTACAGGCACAGTGTGCCACCACGCCCAGCTTGTGATTGATTCCTGACTGTGGTCAAGAGCCAGTGGTTGTGGTTCAATCTGGCTGCACCTTAGAATTAATTAGGCGACTTGAAAAGAAATATTCATGCTTGGGTCTTCTACAAATTCTTATCTAGTAGGGATAGGCGACTGCTTCCCAAATTTATCTGCATGTTAGAATTACCTGGGAGGACTGGAGAGATAGCCAAGCTGCACAGCACCTGCCTGGCAGGTGCAAGATCCTGAGTCCAATTCCCACTACCAAAAAGAAAAAAAGAATTGCCTGGGAAGCAAACATTCTAGGCCTCCCCAGACCAGCAGCATTACATGAAAACAGGGCACAGGGACCAGGATTTTTTTTTCAAGTTCCCAGATGTCTCAAGTGTGCAAACCCTTTGGAAACTGCCAATATAGGTATCTTTATTTCATTGTTCTTTGGGATAGGGTCTTGCCATGTAGTTCACCATAGCCTTAAACTCACTATGTACCCCAGACTAGCCTCATCTCTTTTGTTTTTTTTTTTTGCGGAACCGGGGATTGAACTCTGGCCCTTGCACTTGCCATGGAAGTTCTTATTCCACTGAGCCATCTCCCTGGCCCCTAGCCTCATTTCTAGAGATCCACCTGCCTCAGCCTCCTGAGTTCTGAGATTGTAGGCATGCATTGACATGCCTGGCTTAGTATAGGAACCTCTTAGCCAGGTGTGGTGGCGCACCCCTGTAATCCTAGCACTTGGGAGGCTGAGGCATGAGGATCATCACAAGCTCGAGGCTAGCCTAGGCTACATAGTGGGTTCAGGACCAGCATGGGCTACATATCGAGATCTTGTCTCCAAAACAAACAAACAAACAAACAAACAAACAAACAAACAGGGGACCTTTTAAAAAACTCTTGGAAGACAGATGCAGTGGTGCATACCTCCTGTAGTCCCAGCTACTTAGGAGACAGGAGGATCACTTGAGCTCAGGTGTTTTGAGGCTAGTCTGGGCAGTATAACAAGACCCCATTTCCAAAACCAAAAACAGGGCTGGGGATGTATCTCAGTGGTAGAACACTCGCCTGCCAGGTGTGAGGCCCTGGGTTCCATCCCCAGCACCACAAAACTAGTAAAATAAAAGAGTAACAGTGATTTATTGAGTAAAACTCTAACAAAAAAAAAAAAAAAAAGAGGGGCTGGAGAGATGGCTCAGCAGAATAAGCGTTTGCCTGGCAAGTGCAAGGGGCTGAGTTCAATCCCTAGTTCTGCAAAAAAA